TTTGGCAAGAAGGATGGCACTACAGAGCCGTGGTGCCCACAAGGGGAGAAAGGAGCGGCCGGGGGAGGGCGGAGGACTCCCGCAGCACATGCCAGCGCCCAGGGGCCACTCCAGGGACTGCGTGGACCTGGTGGACCTGCTGTGGCTGGCCGGCTGGCACTTGCAGGTGGGTCAGCTGTGCCCTGTCCCGGGCGGAGTTCTCCATGTTCCCAGAGGCTTGAAAGCCACAAGGACGCCGCAGCCCAGACCCACAGGCAGCTGCTGCTCAGGACCGGCGGCCTCAGTGCACCTGATGGCGCTTCTGCATGGCACAGCCCAAGGGGGCTGGGGCGCACCCGGAACCGCTCCCCTCCTGGAGCTGCAGCCTCTTATCTTGCCAAGACCCATCTGGGAGCCCGGGGTGGACGGGAGGAGCAGGGGAACCCACTGCACCGCTGCCGAGCAGGCCTGGGATGCTGGATCTTCATTTTCCGAGAGGCGGACAGACGCGGTGAGGGCTGCAGTTGATTCTCCTTGAAGTCTCTGAAGGAGGGAGGACGGCTGGGGGCTGGCGTGTTCTCGACACCTCTCAAGTCCTTAACTGAATCTTAAATGTCTCCTGAAGCTCCATGTGCTCAGGGCTTGGTCCCCAGCTGGGATAGCTACTGGGAGGTGGTGGGACCTTGAAGAGGTGGGGCCTGGTGGAAGGGAGTTAAGACACTGGGATGAATGCTCTGCAGGGGACCCTTAGGATCCTAGGCTCTTCCTCTGTTTCACTTCCTAGCCTCAAGGTGAGCAGTTTTATTCCACCACGTGCTTCTGCTATGATGTGCTGCCCCCCGCCCCAGATGTGGAAGGGTAATCATGGACCTGATGACCCAAACTGAGCCCAAATAAAACTTTTCTCTTTTTAAGTTGGTTATCTTAGGTGTGTCTTTCAGGGACAAGATGTTCACTAACATGCTTTGCACCCAAAACCTCTGGTAGGGAGTAGTGAGAGCTTTGATAACACCATCGGACGTCACAGCTATCCTCCTTTTGTGGAACTCATCCTGGTTTTGCATGTTTCAAGTTTAAAAAGTATGTTGATTTAAAGAAAGCCATTAGGATATGGGGACATGGGGGGTCCACAGACACAATCAAGATCATCTAGGTGGATGGCAGGGACCGAGCTTGGGAGATGCTGTCATGAAACATGGTTAGGCTGGACGTGGTGGCACACACTGTAATTCCAGCTACTTGGGAGGCTGAGACAGGAGGATGGCAAATTTGAGGCCAATCTGGGCAATTTGGCAAAAGTCTATCTGAAAAGATGGGTGGGGATTGTGGCTCAGTGGTAGGGTGCTGGCCTAGTCCCAACACCACAGAAACTAGAACCAAAACCAAAACACAGGGAGAAGACTTGATGGGTCTAACGCTGGCCAAACCTGAGAGTGCGTGTGAGAGGGAAGGGCGTTTGTGCCACCTCCTCCTATGGCCCTGAGCCCCTTGCCTCCCTTCCCCTGGGCAGAGAGAAGGGAGGAGGTCCTCAGAACCGCCCCAGCAAGGGAATCAACACCACTCTCACGCTGTAGGGTCATGGCCATGTGCCTCATCATCCACATCTAGGCAAAGTTCAAATCCACGTGTGTAGGGAAGTCTACACAGCAAACAATACCTTAGGTTTTTTTTTTTTTAATTTTTTTTTGGTAACAAGGATTGAACCCAGGGGCGCTTAACCACTGAGCCCCATCCCCAGCCCTTTTTATTTCTATATGGAGACAGGGTCTCACTAAGTTGCTTAGCGCCTCTCTAAGTTGCTGAGGCTGGCTTTGAACTTGCAATCCTCCTGCCTCAGCCTCCTGAGCCCCTGGGATGACAGGCGTGGGCCACTGCACCTGGCTCTGAGGAATTATTTTTACCCAGAAAGTCCACCATCAGTTTCCCACGGCCAGGCGTCTGTGAACAGCGCCCAGCACCTCACGGGTCACCCCCGAGGAAAGCCACACAGGCTGAGCCAGGGCTGAAGTCAGAGGTGAGACTGGTGACCCCACAGGACAGCAGACCTTTAGGGCTACTGCCTTCTGAGGCCTCTCGTCCTCCCTACCTCAGGAGGGAGAATAGCTTCCAACCAGGACAGCCCTGGCTGAGCTGGCCAGTGCCACCCACTGCCAGGTGGCTTCATATCTGCTACTCCTGGGAATCTCCAAGGACGTGGCGGGGGTGCACCTAGGACCGGAGCCTCTCCAGACTCCTCCGCTCTGTCGGTTTTTTCGTGAGTCTCGCGTTCTGCACTGACGCCCCACCCCAGTGTTGCTTGCTCCTTGGAGGAGTCAGGCTTTGTTTCTGCGAGTGACATCAAGCCCAGGTCTTGAGGCCCGTGGTGATGGAGATACACTAGGAGCCCACTGCTTGAGACCAGGGCCTGCAGGGCAGCTGCAAGGAGAGGGCATCAGGGATGCCGGGCAAGGCAGGGACAGGGTCTGTGGGGTCATTGGAGGTGGGCGAGGAACCACTCAGCAGCGGGGACACCGAGGTGGTGACTTGGGGACAGGGCCTGTGTCTAATGGCTCACCAATGTGGGCCTCGGTACCCATGGGCGACTGATTCCAGGACCCTGTGGGCACCCAAATCCCAGGCTGCTCAAGTCTCCATGTAAAGTGGGCAGCATGGGCAGGTAGCTGTGCGTGTGACAGTACATGTCACCTAAGTCCTGAGACCGGGTTTACAACACAGGGTGCGCCCTCCTCATGCTGTGGGAACGGGGGCTGTGTCGGGCTGCTCAGGGAATGGGGACCGGGAAGGTCCTGATGTGCTCAGAGCAGACCAGGGTTGGGTTTCCTTTTGCCAATGTTTAACTTCCTGTCCGAGGTTGGCTGAATCTGCAGAAGTGGCCCCCTGAGAGCCTGCCGGTGCCCATGCTCCTTTCCAATGTCGCTTTTCAAAGTCGCCCATGAGCAGCCGAGTCTGCGTCCCCACCTTCGCATCTGAACTCTGCCCAGAATGTGGCCCAAATGACTTTGTGCCAGCGAAGCTCAGGGGTGGCCTTCCGCTTGCCCTCTGGGAACCTGCCGTCAGGGCCTGTGGAAGAGCCTGGCTGCCCTGCTAGAGGAGGACGTGTAGCTCAGCACCCCTGCCAGAGCCACTAGCCAGCCAACTGTCAGCAGTGTTTGATTCTCTGGCCATCAGCTGACCACAGACGCATGAAGAAGTCCAGCCAAGATCAGAAGGCCTCCCTGGCTGGACCCACAGACCCAGAGCTACATAAAAGGCTACCCGGAACCACCACGTTTCAGGTATTGTTACACAGCACTGCTCGGGGGACTGCTAGCTGATACACAAGGCGAGAAGTGCTTCACCTGAATCCACCTTTCCAGAGAAAACCCAGCAGCTCCCCATGTGTGCAGGGTGCAATGGTACAGTATGGAAACCATCGGATTAAAAAAAAAGTTCTCCAAACAAAAGAAAACATAATGCAGACTTATGTTTCTCTGCTCATATATATTTTCTCTCCACATATAGACACAATTCTTCAGTAAACATTTACAAGATATGTGGCCAACACTGGGGAAAGGAAAAGAGGGCAGCTCACAGACAGGGTCTCTCACGTTCAGGTCCAGGACACACAGACACAGACACACACAGCCAACGAAGTCTGAATGAGAGCAAGTAAACTGTGTAAATATAAAGTCACTCCAAACCACAACCACAGACACTCGGCACGCCACAGGGGAGGCAGAGGAGAGATCTTGTGCTGTACTTTGAGACTTTCTGATAAAAAAATAAATAGGACTCGGGAGGCCTGGGGCCTGGGCTGTGCTCAGTACCATCCCCCTAGAGAACTGCTGAGTGGCAGAGAACACTTCTGTCCCACAGGCCCCTCTGTCTTGGGAAGCTGGGGACCAGGCTGTCCCCTCCCCTTCCTGTTATGGTGGGGCAGAGCAGGAGCAGGGTGGGGCGAAGGTGACTCCCATGGAACTCTCCTCAGGCAGCAGCCAGGCCTCTGTCCATCCTGTCCCCTTGGGGGAGGGCGGAGGACAGATGCAGCAGGAGGAAGGGAGGCAGGAGAGACTCTCCCTGCCTGGCTGCAGCCTCTCAGATCTTAATTCTGCTTCCCCACATCCTCCCATCCCAAGCTGCAGCTGGCCCTTGGTGACCCCAGAGGCAGTAGGTCTAGTGGGAGGAGCTTCCGCCCAGCCTCCTGCTCTCTGGCCTGTCCAGGTCTGTTCTTTGATGGGAGAGCTGGCCAGGTGCTCTGCCCGAGGGCAGGGGCAGGTGCTGAAGCTCGTCGTCGTCTGTAGACTGTGCCCCTGATGGGCAGGTGCACAGGGGACTCTTCCTGGACCCAGCCATGGCCCTGGGCCCTGCTCATCAACAGGTGCTCCCCAAGGACAGCAGAAGCCAGTTCTGCCCTGGCCAATCCCGTCTCATTTCCCTCCTTTGTCCTGAGTGAACAAAGCGCTTAGGGAAAGGTCGGCCCCCGAACGCTTAGGGAAAGGTCTCCCTGCAGGCCTCTGCGCACCAGGCCCAGTGATGTCTCCCCCAGGAAGAGGCACTGGGAGGGAACCCCACCCAGCCTTGAGGTGCTCAGGGTCCTGCAGAGCCTGGACCTGGTGCCCACAGAAGTCCTCAGACTCCAGCTACTTGCAGGAAGATGCTTTTCTTGAAAAGAAGAAAAGAAGTGTCTCCTGGCATCGAGTTGAGGAGGGAGAACAAGCTAATGCAGCAGAGCAGCCCCAGAGTCCAGGGGAGCCTGGGAAGGACCCCGTGCGCCCTTTTTCTTGAGGGAGGCCTCAGGACAGAGGATGGCTTGGCAAAACAGGGAGGCAGCGGAGACATCTCAAATGGGGACAATTCTGCCCTGCAGGGGACATCCAGGGATGTTCTGGACATTTGGGATTATCACAACAGGCATGAGGTGGGGACAGAGCTCCCGGCATCTGGGTGGAAGCCGAGGAGGCCGCTCAGCATCCTAGATGTGTGGGGCAGCCCGCCACCAGGAACCCGCGGACCTCCAAGACAGCGCTGTGGGAGGGGCCCCCGTAGACCAGCCTTCCAGCATGTTCTTGGATGTCTCCAAAGGCCGCTTTGAGGGCACAGTGGGAGCCCCAGAGACCTCTCCAGACCTCTTCTGGACAGATGAGGAAGGGTTGGGGGACAGACAGGGCAGAGGGAAGAGGCCTCCTCCGTCCATCTGCAGCCAGACCCGCGTCGGAGGTCTCAGGCTTGGTCAATCTTTGGTCAAACAGGAAAACGTAAGGCTGGACTGACCTGGACCCACCTGCCCACGGCGAAAGCAGGGCCCTTTCTCTGGGCACAGGAGCCACGTTCATGAGCAGACTCCAGGGCGGGCGCCCAGGCCGGGCTCGCGGGAGGAAAGGAGGGCGGGAGATGGGTGCGGGCGGCGCCCCCCTACTTGTTCTCAATCAGGGTCTGCACCTTGTACACGAGGTCCCGGGCCAGCTGCAGTACCTGCCGGGTGTTGTGTCGCTCGGCCATTTCTGAAAGAGCAGAAGGTGTGCTCAGGAGCTGCTTCTTGCCCCCTCAGGGACAGCCCTGTCACACAGACCCTGCGGGCAGAGACCCTGGGCAGGGCCTGCACCGCCTGCCTCAGTTCCCTCATCTGGGGAGGTCACAGGGCCATCGCTCCAGGTTGCCATGGAGACAAAATGAGGCCTGTGCTGGGAAAAGTGTTCGTCTGTTCACCCCGGTCCTACAGAGAGACAACGGAGAACCTTCAAGAAAAGAGCACTGGGGCTGGGGATGTGGCTCAAGCGGTAGCGCGCTCGCCTGGCATGCGTGCGGCCCGGGTTCGATCCTCAGCACCACATACAAAGATGTTGTGTCTGCTGATAACTAAAAAATAAATATTAAAATTCTCTCTCTCTCTCTTTAAAAAAATAAATAAAGATCATTGTTTAAAAAAAAAAAGAAAAGAGCACTGATGGGCACGAGATTGGTGCTTCGGATGACATGGAGATGAAGGAAGCAACGGAGGGAGGGATGGAGAAACAGAGGGATGGAAGGACAGAGGGAGGAAGGGGGCATGGTGGGGAGGGAGAAAAAAAGAAGAAAAATGTTTTTTCCTGAGGTCAGATCTTCAAACCTCTAAACAGAGTGGACATTTGCCATGGAGGAACCATTTATGGGGCAAAGAGAAAAGCACTAAGACTGCAGTTCCCAAACCGGGGGCCGAGGTACCCTGGGACTGTACAGTGAACTGCACTGTGGGATAGTCAGCCCCAGACACACTGCGGTCCACTGAGCACCACATCGCCCGTCCACTTGCGGGGTGGTTAGCAGCTGCTGTGATACAAAGCAAGTACTGAGTGAGGAACAGGAAATAAGGGGGTGGAGTCGTAGCTGGAGTGGAGGCTGGTGAGGCCACGGTGGGTTCAACAGGCGCACACAGCCCTGGAACTGACTTACTGAAGAATGAAATAGAAAAGATTTTTCTTTCAATTTACATGAATAAAATCCAAAATTATTCCAAATTTAAAAGTTTACATTAAAAACTAATTATGTTTCCAAGGTGAGATCATAGGTGGTTATTTTTCCCTCTTAGTTTAAGAGGGGGTGGAGTTGTAGCTGGAGCTGCTCCTTCCTTCCTTTCTTCCTTCCTTCCTTTCTTCCTTCCTCCCTCCCTCCCTCCCTTCCTTCCCTTGAACTCTCAGGGCCTCATGCATGCTAAGCTGTCACTGAGCTACATTCTCAGCCTCTAATTTTTCATTTTCACATGGTGATAACAGTAGCAATGGCTTCATTTTTCAGGCCCCTCCATGGGCCAGGGACCATGTGATGAGACTTATCCATCGTCTCCTTTGTCTCCTTTAATCCTCCAGGCCTCTCTGTGTCAGAGGAGATGTTAGCACCATTTTATCCCTGAAGAATCTGAGGCCCAGAGACGTGAAGTCATTTGGACAAGGTCACACAGCTCCCAAGGGGCAGAGCTGGAATCAGATCCCTGCACGTGTCTGGTTTCAAAGGCTGTATCTGGTTCATGCCACCCAGCTGCCCCCTTGTTCCTCTTTTCCTGTACATGGCAGCCCTCCATTTCACAGATGAGGCAGTGGATGTTTAGACAGGGGGAAGGGCCTCGCCCAGGGTACAGCTGGTCACTGGCAGAGCCGGGCTTTACCCTTGAGCCTGATTTAAACACTCAGGAACCTCTGCCAGGTCCTTGCGAAAAATGGGACCTCAGCATTACAAGATGTCAACTCATCCTTTGGGACATCGCCTGTAGAAATGTGCACAACTCCCTTGGCCCCTCCCTCTGGACGACCCCACCCCTGACATGACCCCACCACAGGGTACCATTGAAGAACTTGATGATGTCCGTGAAGTCCATGTTGTTCTCCAGGATGATGTCGCGGTAGACTTCCACCAGAGCCAGCGCGATGAACAGGACGTAGTGGGCGGACGAGACATGCTTGGCTGCCCAGATGGTCTCCCAGACGGCGAAGACGTCATCGTAGACGAGTTCTGCAGGGACACCAACACACATGTGCATGGCAGGTCAGCCACGCGCTCACAGGGCTGCCCTCCCTGCTGAGGATGCAGGGCCAGCAGGGCTTGGGCCTGTGTCCTGGCTGTGAGGCAGGACGTGGAGCCTGGAACCCTGTCATTTGACCCTGGGAAGCCTCAGTTTCCTCCATCAGTAGAACAGCTTCCTGCATTTCTTCCAGCTCAAGTGGAGGAACTGAGCACATGCAGGTTTGATTGGCATGGCCCTCTGCCCTCCCTGGCTTCTGCCAGGGCCCACCCTCCGCTACCCATCAGCCTGCACAGGGCAGGGCTGGCTGTTGCCTGAGGTTAGTGAAGAGGTGGAAGATAGGGGTAGGTAAGAGCAAGGCTTCCTTTAAACTGCATGTGTAGATGCACATCATAATCCCAGTGGCTCGGGAGGCTGAGGCAGGAGGACGGCAAGTTTGAGGCCAGCCTCAGCAATTTAACGGAGGCCCTAAGCCACTTACCGAGACCTTGTCTCAAAATTAAAAAGGGCTGGGTATGTGGCTCAGTGGCTAAGACCCTGGGTTCAATCCACAGCAGCAAAAAACAAAACAAACCAAAACAACAAAAAATAAACAACAAAACAAACAAAAAATCCATAAAATTTTATTCCTAAGTATTTTATTCTTTCTGATGCTTTATTAATGTGTCTGTTCTGAGTTTAAATTTTTTTGTTGCTAGTGTATTAAAATACCACTGATTTTTGCACGTTGATGTGTATCCTGCCACCTTGCTGAGCTTGTCTTTAGTTCCAATAGCTGTGTGGGTGGATTCCTTGGGGTTTTCTGAATCCTTTTTTTTTGGTACATAATTGTGTTTTCTGCAAACAGAAGATTTTTTACTTCTTCCTTTCCAGTGTGGAGGCTCTTTCTTCCTCTTGTCTAACTGCTCTTTAAAAAAAAATTTTTTTTTTAGTTGTAGGACACAACACTGTCATTTTATTTTTTAGGTGGTGCTGGGGATCGAACCCAGGGTCCTGCTCATGCAAGGCAAGCGCCCTACCACGGAGCCACAGCCCGGCCCCAGCTTGCCTAGCTGCTGTGGCCAGCAGTTCCGGGAGTGCAGGGTGGACAAGAGCAGAGCGGACACCCACGTCCTGCTCCTCAATGCAGGGGGATGTGGCCTTCACCATCACATGATGGCAGCTGGGTCACTGTGGCTTCCCATTTTTCTGGTGGAAGCCCCTCTACTCCTGGTTGGTTGATTTGTCCTGAAGGATTAGATTTTGTCAAAAACTTTTTTGTTTCACTGCCAAATGCTTTTTCTATGTCATGTATTGAGTGATCATGTTCTTTTTTCCCCTTACTCTATGGATACCATGTGTTACACTGAGTACTTTTCATATGTAAATAATCTGCATTTCTGAGATAAGTTCTACTTATTAATGGTCTGGGGACCAAAAGGAGCAAGGCTTCCCATTAACTGGCTGTCAGTCCAGCTCTGGGGCCTCAGAGTGGCTGCTTCTCTCCCTGCCTCTAGCCCCGTCTGTAGGGGGGCTGATACTGGTGAGAGTAAAAGACAGAGATAAGACACTCAAGTGGGTGGCACTTAGTAAACCCCTCCAAATGTGAGTCATTCTTATTATCATATCACCCCAATGTGCATAACAGCTGTGCATCTAGAAGTGACGTCACTTCTAAATCATGTATGACACATGCACAAAACACCCTCTACTCCGTGGGTTTGAAAGTCTTTGCTAAGCAGCACTGAGTGGAAGAGGAGGTGGCCCCCTGGGGGTAGAGAGAGTGGGCTCAGATGGCTGGCTCTGCTCTTCCTTGTTCTGGATTAAACCTTCCTCAGCCTCAGTTTTCCCATCTGTGAAGTGGGACTGTCACAGTCCCCATGCAGTGTGTTTGCAAGGTCAGGCAAAAAGAAGTGGCAGAAGCTGTTAGTGCAAGTGACCAACATGCTGATCCCTTTGCTGCCTTGGCCCAGCACCCACTCAGCCTCGCCTCTGCCCTAGCGCCTCCTCCGAGGTCCTGCTCAGAGAGCCTGGGACAAGGCCCTGGTTTGAAGCGGGTACCTCGTTTGAAGTCCAGCAGGAACCAGCGGTAACAGAAGTAGAAGTGGGTGTAGTCCCCATTCTGATGCATCAGCTCAAAGAGCTCCGAGTCCAGGATCTGTTAGAGGAAGAAAAAGCGGTGGTATCAGCTCCGGAGAAAGGTTGGAACAAGAGGGGACCCCTGGGTCAAGGACGGCACAAGCCCACACCACACACCAGACAGCCCTCAGCAACCAGGTGGGGTTTAAGTGGACAAAGACTGTGAGTACACGTTTCTCCAGAGACTTCCAAGTGGCCATGAGCATGCACAGCACGCTTGGCATCTTTAGCCAAATGAAAACTGCAGGACACGCCACCTCACACCCCGGGGACGGCTCAATCAGTGACAAATAATAACAAGTGCTGGCGAGGATCAGGAGAAGCTGGAGCCCCCTCCACTGCTCTGGGAAGTGGGGCAGCTGCTGTGGAGAACATTTTGGCAGCTTCTCAAAAAGTTAAACACAGAGCTGCCGCGCGATCCAGCAGGTCCTCCCTAGGCACCGTCCCACGAGACTTCTCAACAGTCCGTGGAATAATCTGACCATGGACCGCACAGCAGCACTGTTCAAAAGGGCCAACGGAAACCAGTCCAGCGTCCACCAAAAGATGAATGGAGCAACAAACCATGGCTGTTAGAAAACAGAGGGCAGAGACCTGCGGCCATCAGACACTGTGCTCAGAGGAACAGCAGCTCTGAAAGAGTCTGTGGGAAGAGAAGGGCAGCACGCACAGCAGGAGTCTTAAGTGTGCAGAAGGCACCCAAATAAAGCGAGCAGCGCTAGGATAGGGAATCCACAGAGAGCGACCCAAATGACTCCAAAGGGAGAAGGACAGATCTTCCATGGCACTGTTCAGAAAACGCAGATGACATCACAACACACTGCTGCAAGTGCACCCAGGAGACTGGGGAAAAGGAAGAAGTGTGACGGGTCAGATAAGGGTAAAGTGGGTCAAGGAATCTCACTATTGGGTGGGGCAGTGCACGAGGTAGGAGGCTCAGGAACCAGGGAGGTAGCAGGATCTAGGGCAAGTTCAAGGTCAGCCTCAGCAACTTAGTGAGACCCTGTCTCAATATTTAAAAAACAAAAAAAGCCTGGGAGTGTAGCTCATGCTAAGAGCACTTGTCTAGCAGGAGCAAGGTCTTGGGTTTACCAAACAAAACACACACACACGCACACACACACACACACACACAAAAAAAAAAAAAAAAAAAAAAAAAAAAAAAAAAAAAAAAAAAAAAAAAAAAAAAAAAAAACCTTCTTGGGACAACTGATGGCTTTGGAGAATGATGTAGCTGTGTCTAATGAAGCCCCAGCACAGCTAGTGCATACAGGAGGAGATATGCACAGAATTTCTTAACAGCACCATTTGTAAAGGCCAAAAGCAAACTCACCAATTCCCCAAATCAAAAGCAAAACAAACCAACATGGAAATAAACTAAGTGTCCACCTACAGGAAAAGGGCTACGAATGACATGGGCCTGAGTGACTCTTAGAGTGGAAGCTGAGCTTCAGGGAAGAGGCAGTGAGCTGCACCCTTGAGGAGTGCCGCAGACCTGCCCGCCCCCCCTGCCCAGACACACTGCCAGACCGACACCAGTTAAGACTATTCCTGCGTTTTACATGAGCCCCTGGGAAGCTTGAGACTAGGCTGTGGGCTGTGCAGCCCCACGGCAGTGCATACGTGGTAGGAGGATTTTTGTGAATGTCTTTTAATGACAAGCTTCACATCCTAGAAAGGGGACTCCACTAGGAGGACAGGAATGAGGACACGCCATCCACAGGGACACATGAGAGCTGGAAATCTAAGGTTAATGCTTTGGACACTCATCGTATCATCATTTCTCTTATGCCTAAAATAACTTGATCACTGCTGCAATGTCATTGCAGGTGCCCAGGTAGTGACATTTCCCTGTCATTTGCTAAGGCTGATACATTTCCATTTCTTCCACTCAAAGGGGCGAAAGTCTCAATTCTTCTGGGAGCAGATGGTGGGTGCTGAAGGGCTGGCATTTTTCATAGCACCTGCACACTTCAGCTTGCATGGAGTCACTGAGGGGTTCATATGACACAGATTGTCAGGGGGGCAGAGGGAGGTAAGACTGACCTGTATTTCTAACAAGTTACTAGGTGACACTACTGCCGCTGGTCAGGGACCCTGCAGGCCTTGTGCTCAGTACTATAAATGCATTATTTTATTTCATTTCCATAACTGTAACAATTCATTGGGAATCATATAAATGGGAAAATTACCTATTTTCTAGATGAGGAAACTGAGGCCCAGAAAGCCTAGATTTTCTAGCCAGCGAGAAGCAGAAATAGGGTTCAAATGCACCTTGACCCCAAGTTGCTCAATCCTAAGTCACGGAGTGATACCTACTGGTCCCCAAAAGAGCTGACTAGATGCCGGTCATACCTGGATCAGCGACCTCATGTTGGCAAAATGCGTGTCCATGGCGCCTCCGTGGGGAAAATTCTGGTTCATCCTCTTCATGAGCTCTGTGAAGCAGCTGAAGGCCAGGGCCTCTGGGGCGGCAGTGAGTGAGGGACAAATGTTAGTGGTAACACTGCCCGAGGCCCCCAGCTCCCCGGGGGAAGTTCTAAGCCCAGGGCTGGGTCAGAGTGTCCACAGCCAGGGGGGGAACATGGGACCCCGGAGGGCTCACTGGATTGGGTTCCAAGGGAAGCTCTCCAACCTAAGGGGGATCGTGTGCTTCTCACCCGGGAGCTCTTGGCACCCTCGTTTAGGAAATAATGGTGTGGCCGAGGCTCTTTTGAAAAGGCCTCTGTTTGCTCTAGTAAAAAGTTGACAGTGTTTTGTTGGTACCTTTTTTTTTTTCTTTTTTGAAATTCTACTGAGGGGCTGTGGCTGTGGCTCAGTGGTAGAGCTCTCGCCTAGCATGTGCGAGGCCCTGGGTTCAATCTTCAGCACCACATTAAAATAAAAGTATTGTGTCCAAATACAATTAAAAAAAAAAAAAAGAAATTCCACTGGCAATTCCAAGTCTGAGAACCACTATCCTCAAGCAGCATCTCTGAGTATCGGAAGGGCTTTTATAGACAATATGCAAAGTTTTAAATTACTTTGGAAAATGCTGCTCAGATTATCTGCTGCTTAGAACACCCATGCATACACATATTTAAAAAGTAAAGGCTCTGAGAAGTCTTGTAGCAAAGAAACCTGATTCATACCATCCAGTGAGTCACAAACTTATTTGAAAAATGGTAGATTTTATTTTCCCCTGCTAAATAATTGATAACTTTGAGGAGAGCTATGCTAGACTGGAAAATTTCCCAAGGACAGTGGGATTTCATTCATTGTTTAAACACTGATTTATTTATGTATTGGAACCAAGGATTCAACACAGGGGTGCTTAACACTATGCCACATCCCCAGCCCATTTTTATTTTTTATTTTGAGACGATTCTGGATAAGTTGCTTAGGGTCTCACTAAGTTGCTGAGACTGGCCTCAAACCTGCCTCAGACTCCTAAACCACTGGGATTATAGGCATGCACCCCTACACCATGCTTAAGACTTTGTTTTTACAACAGTTTATATTGATAGAAAAACTGAGAAGACAGAAAAGTTTTCTCACATGGTCCACACCCAGTTTCCTCTGTTATTAATATCTTTACGGGAGCATGGCTCATTTGTTATAGCTAATGAACTAATACCGATACATCATTAACTGAATTCTGTCCGTATTCTGGTTTCCTCAGCAGTCACCTATTGTGCTTTCTCTGTGGAAGGACTTCATGCTGTGTGGCCCATCACACACAGCTGTCCTGGCTCCTTAGGTTCCTCTGGGCTCCAGCGTTTCTCAGGCTTTCTTGTTTTTAATGTCCTTGACAGTCCTGAAGAATCCTGGTCGGGTATTATTTTTATAGGATGCTCCATTATGAGCAGGAGAATTTGATGTTCTTCTCACAATGAGATGAGGTTATGGGTTTTGGGAGGAAGATCTCAAAGATAAAGGGCATTTTAATTGAATCATGTCCAGGATACACACTGTGAACACGACCTATGACACATGACGTGGGTCTTGGTCACTCTGCAGAGGGAATGTCTGTCCCTGTGTTGCACCACTGTGATGTTCCTCTCATTTCCAGCCCCATCCTCTCTCAACTTGGATCTTTGGGAGGGAGTGAGGTCCGTGCCTAAGAGTGGGGACTCCCTCCCTCTCTCCCTTTCTTCCGTGGTGCTGGGATGTTGCAGCCAATGCCACCTCAGCAGTTCTGTCTTCAAGCCCATGAACATGGATGTCTTTTTATAGTTTAGGTTTTCTTCCATTTCTTCCAAGAATGTTTTCTAGTTTTCAGGGCACCCTCCTTGCCCTTCTGTTATATGTGCTCCTAAGTGTCCTGTGTCATAGATGCTATTGCAAATGGGACTGTTTTCCTCATTTCATTTTGGAATTGCTTGTTCCAATTCTACTCTGTTATCATCCCTGTTGTTGTGATTTAATCATCAGTTAAAATAAGACCAGCTCCAGAGGCTGAATGGAAACACAATAGACTTTGGTTTATTGATCTCATATCCTGCAAAATGGATGTATTTATTAGTTCTAATATATTTTTTTATTCTGTAGGATTTTCTACAGCAAAGTCATGCCAACTGGGAACACAGTTCTGCTTCCTCTCCAGTGGTTTCTCTTCCTTCCTGACCTGCCCGTGCTGGACCCACAGTGGAGAAAGCAGACATCTTTATCTTGTTCCAGATCCAAGGGAATGTGCTCGGTCTTTCCCACTGAGTTTGATGTTGACGGTGGGTTTTCCATAGATATTGCTTGTCATGTCAAGGTCCCCTTCTGTTCCTAGTTCATTGAGTGTTTTTATCATGAAAGGTGTTGGTTTTATCATGTTTTTCTGTGTCTATTAAGATGAACTTTTTTTTGCCTGTAATTTTACTGATGCAGTGAATAGTGCTTATTATTTTGTATGTTGAACCCCTTGGCATCCCTGGGGTAAATCCCACTTGGTCATGGACTGTAATCCTTTTTATTTCTGGTTGGGGGTGTAGTTTAGTGTTAGAGCACTTTCCCAGCGTATGTGAGGCCCTGGACTCAAAACTGCAGCATCATAAAAACAAAACAAAATGAAACACCTCACTTATTATATCTTGTTGGAATTAGCCTGTTGGTATTTTGTGGAGGATTTCTGCATTCATATTCATGAAAGATATTAGGGTGCAGCCTTCCTGTGATGGCTGTGTCTGGTGTGGACGACAGGGTGGTGATAAAGAGCTCAGCACTTATCCGAGGGCTGCCTCCCAGATGAGTTGGGATGCCTTCCTTCCTTCCTTCCTCCCTTCCTGATACTAGGCATTGAATTTGGGCCTGGCTCATTTCCTTTCCTTTTTTTTTTCTGGAAGAGTCTGTGAAGAAGTTGTGTTAAATCTTCCCTGAATATCTGGTAGCGCTCACAGTTAAGCCACCTGGGCCTGGTTCTTCTCTGCTGTCACTCATGTCTGTACAGTCGGTAGCTAGCAAAGGCCTGGCTGGGTTTCGGTGTTGGACACCTGGTGCAGGAGGACTCTGTTCACTGGGACCCTGATGTGGTGCCCAGACAGGTCTCCTGAGCCCCTGCCCTGCTCATTCCATGGACCCACTGAGTGAGGGTCACTCCCTTCCCTGCAGTGGGAAGGATCTGACCCCCGAGTCTACAGCAGAGGGGACCCACTCACCATCATCCAGGATGACCAGCAGCGGAGCCAGAAGGTCACACATGCCCTGGACATAGCCGATCTCAATGTGCTGCCAGATGTAGCTACGAGAGAACAGGGGCCAGTGATACCGCCACCAGCCACCTCCTGTTACCCCTCGTCTAGATGGCACCCTCAGCCCGACACCTGCATGCCCATCCTGTCTCTCACTCCCCAGACACCTGGGCACAGCCACCTGGATGGCCCTCCCAATGTCCTGCTCAAGGGGGCCACTGCATGCTCAGAAGCCTTCACAAGGGTGCTGTGGGTGGGGTGACATCCAGACTCCTTTACTGGGGTACAGGACTCAGCGCCTCCCAATTCATCTCAGAGCCCCACGCAGCACCTCCAGTGCCTCTTCCTCCCCAGCCACGTGGAGGTCTCCCTCCCCACAGACAAACCACACAGTTACGTCCCTGCACCTTTGCCCTAGGGGGTCCCGCTTTCAGAAACTCTGATCAGCCTCTTATTAATAACAGCTCGTATTTTCTGAGTATTTTCTATATACTTAGCCCGATACACATTTACCGCATATATCTTAAAAGATATATGATTATGTATTTCAAGATAATCATACAAATTATGATAATCATATAAGATAATCATACAAAATAAATATCATCATTACCACTCTTCACAGATGAGGAGACTGAGGCATGGACAGGTAAGTGCCTTCCCCAGAGTCATAGACCTAATGGTGGGGGGCGGAGGCAGTTTCTGGACTCAGGAAGCCTCACTTGAGGGTATGTGACCTTAAACTCCATGGTCAGTGGTTTCTTCAGTCATTTCAAAAAAATTTTCTCCAAGTCTCTCTGGAGAGTCCCCACCTCTGTGAGACTCCCCATGACCTCTCCCTAAGCTCATAACCGGAAAAAGTCAGTCTATTCTTCCTCCTCCCCAGCACTTTTCTCATTTACATATAACATCTGTCATTCAGTTGAAAACTTTAAAATACATCATATCATGTAATACACACTCATATTGCAGTGCACAGAATACGACATAAGATTATATGATCATTAAACACCATCTATATGGCCACGGAAGATATTTGCCACGTGGCTAGCTGGTATTATTTCTGTGGGAGTGTCACTGACAGGCAGAGATGAAGAAGTTTCTCTTTGCATCTTAGGACCTTCTGACACCCTTAATTGCTGCAGATTTTTAATATGCCTGGGCCAGTTTTACTTCTTAAGAGATGCCAATAACAATTTTTAATGAACAGAAATAAGTAGCCTTAGATCTTGGCTTAAAAGAAAGAAAGAAAAGGATAGATTTTAGATAGAGATGTGGCTGTGAGTCCCCCTGAGTTGTGGTCCAGTGAGGGCACCGAGCACCGAGTGGCCCCCTCTGAGTTTCCACATCCTGTCACAGGGCATAATAATTACTCCATAGAGCTGTTGAAGGAATAAATGAGCTGAGGATAGTAGGGGTCTTGGGACAGTGCCTGGTATACAGTAAGCACTCAATAATCACTCTCTTTTATCATTACTGTTGTTTTTTAATTGTCAGTGTGGGTTAAAAATAGACCAGCTTCAGAGGCTGAACGAAGTTCCACCTGGGCTCACACAGCCCCACGGGGTCCCCCTGCCATGCCCCTCCCCCAGGTCTCCCAGGACACCACCTGCACATGATGTTGCGCAGCTTCTCCAAGTTGGCGGGTGTGAAGTACCAGTAGTTACGGTCACACCTCTGCACGTCCTTCTCGATGCGGTGCAGATTCACGGTGTACAGGTCCAGCAGCTCCGGCTATGGGTGCCCAGGAGAAGAAAAGAGATTATCCCCAAACTCCCCACTGGGGGGCAGAACCCCGTTCCTCCTCCTGACCCTTTCCTGTGGACAGAGAAGAGAAGGTCTCCTGGCAGGGCCAGCTGGGGTTTATTTATTTGCACACTTTCTGGGAAAGCCTCTTTGAGTTTGTATGTTCTGTTCCTTTTTAAATAAAACAATCTCACGAAATGCACAAAATCATTATCCCCATTTTACTAAAAAAAAAAAAAATCAAGACTTGGGCTGGAGTTGTAGCCCAGTGCTAGAGCACTTGCCTAGCAGGTGTGAGGCCCTGGTTGGTTCCTCAGCAACACATAAAAATAAATAAATGAAGGTATTGTGTCCATCTAAACTAAAATTTCCACCAAAACAAGACAAAACAAACAAGACTTGGAGTTATAATCGTAGTAGGAAGTGCCCCCCACCGTAGAAAACTGCAGAAGGGTAAAGGAACTGAACCCGGGTCCAAGTCTGGTACCATATGAGACCAGATTCTGTGGTCATTGACTGATGCAATGGCTCAATAATCAGCAAGAAAGGAAGGAATATTCAGGATCAAAAATGAACTAGAGCAGGGCCCAATAGGACACGCCTGTCATCCCAGCAGCTCAGGGGGCTGAGGCAGGAAGATCATGAGTTCAAAGCCAGCCTCAGCAACAGCAACTCAGTGAGACCCTGTCTTTAAATAAAATGCAAAACAGGGCTGGGGATGTGGCTCAGTGGCCTAATGCCCCTGAGTTCAATTCCTGGTACCAAAAAACAAAAACAAAAACAAAAACAAAAAAAACAAACCAAACAAAAAAAATAACCAAACAAAAAATACCCCAAAACAATATAAAACAAAACAAAACAAACAAAAAACCCCCAGAAAAACAAGAAAATACTAAAACTGGCTTTGCCTTGAGGATAGCTGCCAAACCAGAGAAATCAAGCTTGGATTCAACCATCTATAGCCCTTGCCAAGGTGAGTCCTAGTAAGAGACCTAAGAGACCTTCCGCAACAACACAGCACCCCAAAGAGCCAGAGCCTCAGTAAGGGAAACCTATGAAATAGCCTGCTCACCTTCTGGGGCCTGAACGTAACTGCTCGATTGCACTTTGAACACAGATGCCAAATTCAGTGTAAAAGCTATCTCCCTGGATAATTAAGCCCCAAATCAAGTTTATAACTCATGCAGGTTTCTAACCCAATTCCCACTGCCTAGGTGGTCTGAAAGACTGGAGAATTTAAAGTCATCTCAGATTTGTTATGCCTCTGGGACTGGGATGAGGCAAAGGAAGGAATCAATCTTTCACCTAGGCCTCAACAGATAACACTCCATGAAATATAAGCTTATGTCCAAACACCACAAGATGCTCAGAGAAAGAGGACCCCAAATAACAGCTGGCATGAACAAAGATGGCAGAATTAGAACCAAAAGAGCCTCTGTTACTGGAAGCATCAGGGACAGAGGATAAAATAAGTGTTTAATATATTTACAGAAATAAGAGGTCAAAGAAATAGCAACTCTATAAAATAATCAAACAGTCACAGCATATATGAAAAAATTCAAGTGAAACTTTTAAAAAACATTAAATACTCATTAGAAACATGTAACAGAAAATTAGACTGTGTGTCTGAGTGTGTGTGTGTGTGTTCGTTCCTGGGGCTCAAACCCAGGGCCTTGTGCATGCTAGGCAAGGGCTCTACCACTAAGCTGCATCTTTTTTTTTTTTGTACCAGGGATTGAACCCAGAGGCCCTTAACCACTGAGCCACATCCATAGACCTTATGGGTGTTGAGGGTTGCTGAGTTGTTTTGTGCCTTTCTAGGTTGCTGAGGCTGGCTTTGAAGTCATGATCCTCCTGCCTCAGCCTTGCAAGCTGCTGGCATTGTAGGAGTACATAATCCTGAGCTACAGCTTTAACCGAAAATCTGACACTCTTTTATTTTGTTTTTAAATAAGTAGTAAATTATTATCATTTTTTATACATTTATTTTATTTATTTAGTTTTTTTTTGTAGTGCTGAGGATTGGACCCAGGGCCTCGCATGTGCTAGGTGAGCGCTCTACCCCTGAGCCCCAGCCCCAGCCCAACACTCTGGAAGAGAATCAGTAAATTCAAAAGAGATCTGAAGAAAGTCCAGTATTCAGCAGAGAGACAGAAAAGGGTTCAAATGAAAGAGCAGTAACAGACAGAGAGGAGAGTGTGAGGAGGTCCAAAGGCTACAGACGAGACAGAAAACGGGGAGCAACAGCCGAATGAATACTAGAGGAGAATTTTCCAGAACTAACTAAAGACATCACAGATGCATACACAGACTCTGGCTGGGAAATAGAAAAAGACAGCTACACTTAGTCACAACACACTGAAAGAGAATCTTAGAGAAGGAAGGAGGTTGTCTTTGCAGAGATGACAGTCAGCTCCCTGACTTGCTAACAGTAGTGAAGGCAACTGGAAGAAAGTGCAACAATGTCTTCAAAGCCCAGAGGTGTCCTGACTTAGGATGGGGCTGAGGCCTGACCCCTGTGTCATAAGGAGCACTGCAGGGCTTCACTGCACAGTGCACTTTGCAGTATGGGGGTGTTTTGTCCTTATGATGGTGCTGCTGACTGCCAGCTGTGGTCACTGCTGCTGTCCAGCAATCAAGAGAAAACATCATACTACATACTACTAGCCCAGGAAAAAAATCCACTGTGGGCTTCAAAAGTCATAAATCAAACCATTCTAAATTGAGGACCATCTGTACTAAGAAAAAATCACTGCGATCTGGAGTCACATATTCAGTACAAATATCTTCAAGACCGAGGGCCACATGAGTCTCACTCCAGATGAATGGAGGCCCATCTACTCAGGAAGGCACTTCACACGGAGACGGGGACCCCAGGCCAGGGGCCCGCCACATAAGAAGGCAAGAAAAGCCAAATGGGGGACAGAGCTCACTGAGGCATGAGCCCCACCCAACAAGGGTGTCAAGTTAGAAGAAGGGAAACTGGGGGACAGAGGCTGGAGTGAGGTGGAAGGGACCTGGAGTGGGGGCGGGAGGAAGGTCGGGACACATCTGCCTCAGGTACAGGCTGAACTCTCCAGATACACAGAACACAGAGAAAGCCTGCCAAGTCTGAATGTTGGAGGGACCCAGAAACCTGGCAAGGATTTGGGGCAGTGAATTGGTGATAAATATTCAAGAAACTAAGGAAAGAAAGCAAACAAATGAAGACACATCCAGGACATTTTTTTTTCTTCTGCAAAAAAAGTCAACACAGCTGACTTCATGGCCCAGAAGAGACACCTACGATCCTGTGAACCTGAGTGACCATTTAACCAAGATCATTACGTAGCTGTGCTGGAAAGATGGGTGTGGCCAGTGTCCTTGTGAAGTGACGGGTCTGGGTGAAGAAGGACGTGGGAGCCAAAAATCTGCTTCCATAATGGGGGTCACTGATAATGTCTAAAACTGGAAAAAAAAGATCAAACAGCAATAATACAAGTGTTTGAGCTATGGGGTGGACATCAGACATCAGGGCACAATAAGTAAGATGGTCGCCCTGGGGAGGGCTGATGGGGAGGAGGGGCGAGCTCATGGTTCTGTTCTTTTTCTTCCTTTCTTTTTTTTCTTTCCTTTCCTTTTTTAAGAGGCAGGATCTCCCTATCTTGCTCAGGCTGGCCTCCAACTCATGGGCTGGAGTTATCCTCCTGCCTCAGCCTCCCAAGCAACTGGAACTATAGGTGCACCACTGAGCCCAGCCCAACATCTGGTTTTCATAGTTAGCTTTGTCCAGATGTTTGACCCTTTAAATTATGGGCTTGCACATCTTTAATAGGAAAAAAAATCTTTTAAAGAAATGTGTACACTAGGGGTGGCTTGGAACATCTTCTTTTCAGATGATGCCTTCTGGCCTGGACTTATTGGCACATTTAAAGGATGCCAGACCTTAGCCAAAAGCATGAAGGTGACTATGGAGCTGCTGCAGATCGGGTGCTCACTGTGTGCCACACACCCAGGACTTCAGAATATGAACTGAAAATAACTCAAGAAGGTGCCAGGCAGATAGGGAGACCTAGGCGCAGGAGCACTGAAGTGATTTGCTAAAGCTGGGGTCTGAGCCTGGGAGTGCTCACTGTGAAGCCTGTGTCCCCCAGTCCCCCATGGTGGGGCATCCCTTGGCTGAAATCTCTGGACCAGGGGTGTTTGGGGATGCTTAGGCTTTGGGGACACATCTGTATCTATGTCTATATCTATACCTGATGAGATATGGTGGGACAGGACCTGTGTCTACACATGAATCCATTTATGCTTCATATTCACCTCTCCCCTTGTACCGAAGGTAATTTTCTACAGTATTTTGAATAACTTTGTGCCTTCTGACTGCAGCCCATCCCACGAGGTCAGATGTGGAGTTTTCTGTTTGGTGGATTAAGTTGGTAACTGGATTTGGAGTCCTCTGCTGAATAGATTCTGTTTTGTTTTTGAAGAGAGGGTCTCGCTCTGCTCCCCGGGCTGGCCTCCAGCTCGTGGGCTCAGGGATGCTCCTGCCTTAGCCTCCTGAGGAGCTGGGATAACAGGTGCTGGCCACTGAGCTTGGGCACTTTGGAGTCTGGGTTTTTAGATTAGGGACACTCCTCTCTCCCAACCCGGGTGTGTGCAGTGAATCCTGGTAACGGTGACGAGGAAAGGAAACCAAGCAGCTGCAGCTCTAAGGTTGGGTCTCTCTGCCCCACCCCTGCAGCGGGATGGAGGAGAGTCTGGTGACTTACGGAGTAGGTGACGCCGCTGGATGACACGGGGGACGCCTCATTGTTGGCCGAAGTGGTCACGACCAGGGAAGCCAGAGCGGGGAAGAGGCTCTCCATCTCGGGCTCCTCCGAGAGGTTGTCCTCACTGTCCGCCTGGCTGCGCTTCTCGGCCTCGCAGCCCCGCCAGCCCTCCCCTGCCGCACCGTCCTTCTCGGGCAGGGCCACGTCCATGCTGCCGGCGATGGACATGAACTCGTCTAGGCTCCCGTTGGCCAGGCTGTCGCTCTCCAGTCGGTCCTGCACTGCCAGCTCCTCGCGAGGGGCTTCGTCCCTTGAGGTGGTGGCCTCGCTGCTCTGCCCGTCGTCCACGCTGCTGTCCCCAGGTGGAAGGGCCGGGGGCGCGCTCCGCTGGGCGTCCAGGACGCTGTCTTCGGTGCTGAGGCTGGGCTCCGAGTGCTCTGAGAGGCCGGAGGAGAAGTTGTGGGAAGATGGATGGCCAGAGTCCGGGGAGCACGGGCCGTTTTCTAGGTTCCCGTTGGGGACCTTGGGCTGTTTCTCCTCCAGTCGGCCTTCTCCTTCCACCTGCTCTGCCTCATCCACGGACTCAAACACCTGAGCAGAAGGTGAACAGGAACAGAGGTGAACAGGACAGCTGGGTATCCATGGCGACACTGTCAAGCAGCAACCTGGTACTCAACAACTGGGGATTGGTTTCAGGATGGAATTTGCATGCACTGGAATACTATACAGCGGGAAAAGTGTATTTTATGCTCCATTTGTAACAAGTAAGTGATACGTGCTTATATATGCATGAATAATTCAGAAATAACAAGAAAGCATTATAGCCCTCTGAAGAGGGCTACCAGGGAACTGTAATGCATCATATAGACTTTCACCATGAATTCTTTTTTTCTTTTTTCTTTTGTACTGGGAATTGAACTCAGGGGTGCTTAACTACTGAGCCATGTCCCCAGCTATTTTTTATATATTTTATTTAGAAACGGGCTCTCCCTGAGTTGCATAGGGCCTCTTTTAGTTGCTGAGGCAGGTTTTGAACTTGCAATCCTCCTGCCTCAGCCTCTGGAGATGGTGAGATATAAATAGGCGTGTGCCATTGTGCCTGGCTCACCATGAGCTTTTTAAAAAACTAAACAATTAGTGAATGTCAGGAACAGGCTAAAAAACATATCACATGAAATTATCTGTGGAATTCATTTTAAAGACGTACTGGTGATTCTTTGTGTCCTAATGGCCTAAGGACAGACAGTAAAAGACCACAGACCACATTCCAAAGTCATTTGCAGTATTTCTTCGCTCTACTGACTTGATTTATGTTTAATTATGTATTTTGCTTAGTTTTTTAAAAATTTCTTTTTCATTCAGTGTATAAAGGTTTATCTAACCCCAGAGTCAAAATTAGAACTAGTCAAAATGAGAAAACCAACCTCAGGGACTCACAGCTCCCCCTCACCCCACTCCTCTCTCCTGGGTAAGCACTTTGGGTAGTTCTGGTTTCTCTTTCCTCTGTATTTGAAAATGAATGTGATTGCATACATGTATCCACATTTCCCCTTCTACACAAAAGTTGTCATCCTCTGTACCTTTATTTGCAATTTGTTTTTTCTTTAATATTGAGAGAGATGGAATTAAGTGTTTTCATCTAGTTTAACAGAAAGTCAACAAGGAATATATACAATCGAATTTAGGTAGAAAATTTTAAAAACTACCAAATGCTGCTACATGTTATCTGCATATTTTAGTTGTGAAGAGCACAGTGGGCTGCTGATGGTTATTTTCAAGGCAGGCAGGGGGATGAGGGAAGACAGAAGCAAGTTTGGCTTTCTCTGCAGTGTTTTAATGTTCTGCCGGGAGAATGGATTCACATGGAGTCGGTCTCCCATTATCCTCAGATTCCACATCCACAGATTCAACCAGCTGCATATTGAAAATATTTGGGGAAAAAAAAAAAGACCGCATCTGTGCTGGATGTGTGTATAATTCTTTGTATGTGAATAATTCCTTGTCATTAAACCTAAAAAATTCAATATAGCTAGTATTTCAATAGCATTTACATTGTGTTGGGGATTCTAAGTCATCTCCAGTATACAGAAGGCTGTGCAAATATTGCACCATTTTACATAGGATCTGCGCATCCCTGGAGTTTGGTATCCATGGGCGCTCCTCAAAAAAGTCCCCTGGATACCAAGGGACAACTGTATTAGTTGTGTTGCTAAAAGGTGCATTTTGAATGCTAGAATAAAAAGCTAAAACACAGTAGGGAAGAATAGAAGTCCGTTGGATTAGACCCAGGGGAATGAAGGGAGGGGAGGGGAGTGGGGAAGACGGTGGCACGAGTCGGACATTACTATCCTACATGCACATATGATCACACGACCAGGATTCCTCTACGTCATGTATGACCAGAAGAGTGAGAATAATAATAATATTAAAGAAAATATCGAGGTGGGATTCAGTGTTCTATACTCCATGTATGTATGATATGTCAGAGTACATTTACCGTCATGGATGACTAATAAAACAAAAATGCACGCGCGTGTGCACACACACACACACACACACACACACATAAAAATGCTAAAACACAAACCAAAGAGGGACCCGTAGATGGTGGCCATCCAATGCCCGCTACCCTGGGGGACATGGTGGGGTGTGGGCAGGAGGGGGCAGGGCCTCTGGAAGGTCACCTGTGTGCTGCTGCTGGAGTCACTCTGCAGGCGGAGGTTCTGACGGCCGGAACTGCAGCTCTGGGAAGACTGAGAGGAAAGGGGTGTCAGAAGAGTGGGTGAGGCTCAGGGGGACTGCTGGGCCAGAGCCAGGAGGCCTGGTCCCTTGCTGTCCCTGGTTAGGAGACGTCACCCCTGGAGACATCAGCATCCCTGCTCCCCAGAGTCGCCTCAGAGATGACTTGGGCCTCCGCATCCCCACCCCTTCTCCTCTGCCACGAGAGCCCCTACCCCCAACTGCTCTGTGGAACTTGAGACTTTGGCTAACGTTTTGGTTCAACTCAGAATGACTGGCTATATTGACGGCTCCATTTTTTACCAGCTCCCTCTACACAAGGCTTTGCTCTGTAACTTCACAGTCCCCGCCTCGTGGAGTGGATTGCTTCCCTCAAAGGACGCTAGCAACCTCGGCAGAGACTCAAAACGCATGTGCGTCAGTCCCTCAGCATCTGCGTTCCCAGGACAGCATGCCAGGCTAACCTGCTGGAGGGCGAGGCACATGGAGCAGAGCTGAGTCCCTCACACAGGTGACACGGCCCAACCTAGATCAACAGCTTCAAGTGAACAGCCACTGGCAGCTGGCCTCAGAGAGAGCCCCACCCAGGCATGCTCAGAGCCGAGCTGCTGGGCTGACCTGTGGACTAGTGAGCAAAGCTAACGAGGTCCATGCTGGTGGCTGAAGTCACTGGGTTTGGGTGGCTGGTTGTTAGGCCAGCTCTGTGGCCACAGGAAGGACACATCACTGGTGAGGACAGCACTTTTTCCTGCTTTGACCTGTTCAGCTGGTGGTTATGTAAGGGTGACATGTCCGACTTGGCTACTGGGACATTCCAGGACATTCCTGACAGTACCTGGCACATAGTAGGTACTTGATAAGCACTTGCTGAATACATGGAAGTCAGAAGTCAGGCACTGTGTGAGTCATTTGATATGCATGCCTTTGTTTTTTTTAGATGTTGATGGACCTTTATTTTTTAATTTTTAAAAAATATTTATTGCTTAGTTGTAGTTGGACACAATACTTTTATTTATTTATTTTTATGTGGTGCTGAGGATGGAACCCAAGGCTGCACATGTGCAAGGCAAGCGCTCTACCACTGAGCCACAATCCCAGCCCCTGGACCTTTATTTTATTAGTTTATTTATATGCACTGCTGAGAGTCAAACCCAGTGCCTCACATATGCCAGGCAAGCGCCCTGTCACTGAGCCCCGACCCAGCCCAAACCTGCACTGTCCTGCTGGAGCTGTATACAGACCTCTGTAAGACTGATTATTCTGTTTACATACAGAAATGAAGGCTAGGAGGAAAGGTCATGCAGGACACCCCAGGGCTGACGTTGGATTTGAACTCAGGTATGGTTCCAAAGTCACCCCCTCAAAAAAATAAAGAGCAGTTAAGGGTGAGGCGGTCAACTGTCCCAAGGCCTAGGATATGCCACCCTTGCCCCTCTCTCAAATCATCTGATGGAGAGATCCAGCCTCCCCTCCCCTCCCCTCTGGCACCCCCAGCCAGCTGTCCTTCACCTCATTGCTGATGGTGGAGTCCCTGTGCATCATCCGGTGCAGGTGGCTGTCCAGGCTGGCCCCCGATGAGCATTTGGCCAGGGCGGCTGCGTGGGACTCCCGCTCCCTTTGCCGCACGATGGCCTCGCATCCCAGCCACTCCGACATGGTCTGTGCGTAGCAGGCATGGATCTGCTCATCCACCTGCCGGGGTGGATCAAGATGAGCCAGGGTGCAGGAACTGGGCCCAGGGCAGACTCAGCCCAAAGGTCCTGCAGGGAGCCTCCATTAACTGAGCACCTACTAGGAGATGCCTGGCACTGGCCAGACCTGAGAATACACCAGTGAGCGAGGCTCCTTCCTCCCCTCCCTTCTTCCTGCCCCACTGTGTGCTGGACAGTCTCCGGCTCTGGAGGTAACAGAGGGAGAAGATTGTTTCCTTATTTTACCACCATGCTTCTCTGCTTCCACATCCCTTTGCTCACTCATTCATTTAATTTGAAAGTACCTACTGTGCACCAGGCACCTAGTTAGGCATGTGGAATACAAGATGAGCAGGATTCTAACCCCCACCCACCCATCTACCCACTCACTCTGCAGTTTGCTGAGAGCTTCCTGCCTGTCCAACATGGGCCCAGGAGCCGGGATACAAAGATGAGAGAAACCAACTCGCTTCCCTTCCCTATAGCCAGTGCCTGATGGAAAGGGCATAGATTTCAAGCCACTCCCTGTTGGATGTCAGCAGGTAGGGGACTCCCATTGTCTTGGGTTACAAAGCCTAGGTGACCAGGGTTCTGAGTCTACCAGACATCTGGGCATGTTGCAGCAGACAGCCCGCCTGCACAGGGTGTGCAGGGGACAGGTGCAGGGGCTGTCCTCTGTGGCCACTCAGACAGGGGCTCCAGCCCTCCTAGCCCGAGGGCCTAGGCTTCTACCTCCCTCCCTAGGACTTCTCCAGAACCACCCACCTCCCAGTTCCAGCTCCACCCCAGGCCAGGCTCCTCCCTACTCATGACCCAGAACCCTCCTCTCAGGTCCCTTCCTGTCCAGCTGGTCCCTCCTCTCCGTGCACCACTTAGCAGCCTCCATCCTCATTTCCTCTCCAGCCCCAGCTTCCGCACTGGCCCCCACCCCTAGCCCTTCATGTTCTAGCAGCTCACACCACCGCCACCCGGCATGTTGGCCCCTTCCAGGCCTTTGCTCTGTTGTCCCCTCTTCCTGAAAGCCCCTCCTCATCCTCTTGCCTAGAAAGCAATTATTCCTTTGAAGGACTTGGGTTCCACGGACTTCCCCAGGGGTCTCCTTCCACCTGCCGCTCTCTCCTGCCTGACTTAGGTGCCACCTCTGGGCTCTTTCAGCCCTAGAGTTGGCTTCTGTCACATCATTGACCACGGCCACCCTGATGCACCTTAAGAGCTTACCTAGTGCCCCTTTGGTTCCTAAGCCCTGAGCACAGGCCCAGCACCCCAGAGTCCCAGTTCCTCTGAGCGGAGCTCACACTAGGTGACCGAGGTGACTAAGTGACTGAGGTGACTGGTCAGTCCACTGGGTGGGTCCTCATGATACAGACTACAGGAAGTCTCCTCTCTTAACACGCCTCCGATTCCTCCATCAGGCCAGCCTGGTACCACTGGGTCGTCACTACGTCCTCAACACTGTGACTGCCCTTCTTAAGAAGTCACTATTACTGGACATGTAGCATTCGTGTACAGTGATGGGTATGGTGTGATAATTCAATGTCTGTGTCTACACCTATGATCAGATCAGGGTCACCGACATTTCCTTCTCCCTAAGCATCTGTCATCTGTGCTGGGACCCCTAGAGCTCCACCCCTCCACTCTGTAATCGACTCTCTTCTGCACAAGAAGAGGACAGGCCCAAGCAGGCGAGGCATCTGGGTACACTGAGGACACCATTCTGTCTTATTCTACTTATTTGTATGGTTTCCTTCCATTTTAGAGCAAGTCACATTGGTTTCCTATGGATGGCAGGGATCTTCTGAAATAAGTTACATGAATGTTAAGGGAGTTCATTTTCAAAAGACAAATGTCAGTCAATAATGGTACAGGTGGTGACAGACGGGGGGTGTAAAGCACCAACAGGTTTTGAAAACTTAGAGAACGTAAAATACATGTTAAGATGGTAATACGTTGGTACATTGGACTTAATAATAAAATATATTTTTCACTTTGATGAAATGTCACAGAAACACACACACACACACACACATACACACACACATACACACACGCAAATATAAATACTGGTGAGATCCCAGCGAGGCCTGGGGTCTGGCTAGTTGTACTGAGCCAGTGTCTTTGCTAACATTCTATTATACAAGAAGGAAAGTGGTGAAAACTGTATGATGGGGACACAAGACTCCTGTTACAGTTTAGGTATGAGTGTCCCCCAACAGCTCATGCGTGAGGCAATGCAACAATTCGCAGAGCTGAAAAAATTAGATGATGAAGATTATGGATATGGATCAACTGGGCCGTATCCTCAGGGTGTGTCGGCAGGAGGGGGGTCACTGGGCTGAGCCTTTGGAGTACATATTTTGTCCCTGATAAGTGCCGGTCTATC